AGGTACACGAATTTTACACAAATTAATAATTAAATGTTTGGGGTGTTGACGATTGAATTAAACGTCAATTATACTGTTTCTGAATCCATACAAAAATCATTACACAAGTAAATAAAAAGTCATTTCATTAATGACATTGATTTCCATTACAGTTGAATTAACAGTGGCTGTCAGCACAGAATTACAAGAAAAATAAAGACATTAATGTCTTAATTACAGTTTGCTCCAAGCAAAATGCATCTGTTTCCTAAGTTTTCCCAATTCATCGCTCTGTTTAGAAGAAGCAGTGGATAACTCAGTCATAAGCTCCTCGTCAACTTCCAGCTTTGTATAACGCTCGACCAGAGACTTGGTTCGCTCAACTCCTTGGGAAGCATTACGTCTCTTGGTAATTAATCTAGCCCTGCAGTCGTCCATCTTTGCTTGGAGTTCCTTCATCTCTGCATCCAGGTTTATCATCAAAGAGTCTTCAACCATGAATTCAGAGGAGATTTCATTTAGATCAACCCTGGCCTTCTCAATCTCTTGAAGCATAGACTCTTTTTCGGTTATAGCATGGAGATACTGAGTACTCTTGGCCTTCAACTCAACATTCCGATCAGCAAAGAGCTTATCTCGGAGTGGATAATTTTCAATGTCAGCTTAAAGTCAGATGGAATATTAAGCTAAGGAAGCTCAAGTGCTTGAGCCATTTTTGCACTTAAAAGCTCCAATTTATCTCTTTGTTTAGCAGCACTGGCTTTGTCGATATCCATATCCATGAAAGAAACGTATTCAAGCAGTAGATGAAGCAGAAGGACGACTAGTTGGAGAATGGCGAGATGTCTTTACTTTATCCCAAAAGGTGAACAAGCCTTGGATGGAGCGTAAAGTGGCGCTAGTGATCTATAAAGAAAAGTGCAAGCATTTAGTATTTTCATTGCAGTAAATGAAGTGAAGATAAAACAAATGCTACCTCATCAGCAACTTTGGGAAGTTGGGGGACATCACTGGTTGACTCAGCCACTTGTGGAGATTTTCCGTTGTCTAGATGAGTAGACTTTGCCACAGCGGGCAAGCCCATAGGAATCTCTGTAAAATTCAAGTAGCAATAAGTAGAAGGCCAATAGTACAAGTAAGAAAAAAATCATAAGATATGAATTACCTTCCGGTTCAACACATGGCGGTCAACGCCTTGTGAAGATGGCAGCTCTCCAGCTAACTGTGGTGAAGACTCTAGGACCATGACTTTCTCTTTAGGCAGTGCCCCTGCATCAGATGACTTGGATGAAGCTGCTTCAGTAGAAGGCGAAGGAGCAGGGGCTGCTAAAACCAGAGCCGTCGAAGGAGAAGTGGAGCTCTTCTGGAAAAATTCAGGTAAAATATTAACCTATGAAGGATTGTTTTTCATGAATAAACAAGCTCAATTACCTTTCTCCTGATGACAAGGGGAGTATCATCATCATCATCATCACCCTACAAAATTGGCGAAGCTGAAGCTAGCCTTTTGCGGCTGGAAGTACATTTGGTTGTACTACCTTGACATGAGGGGAAGCAGATGAAGGAGCAATTTCGTTTAGCACGAGCAGGCGAAGTAGGATTCCTAAGAGACACAGGAGTGGCAAGAATATGAGAGGAAGAAGAAGTTCCATACCGTTCTAGCAGGTGGAAAGCACAATTAACGTCAGAAGCGAATAGCCTACGCTTTACAGATGGCCAAAATTGTTCAAAAAGAAGATGAACAACAAAAGTAGGATGGAAAGGGGCTAATGAGAAGCCAGTTGCCAAAAGAGTATTACGGGCATCAATGACTTGTGCCTCTGTTTTATTAATAGTATGGAAACAGTCAATCAGGCTTTTGGAAAAGTAAAGAGGAATTGGCCAAGTTTAGCCAAAGCTAAGCTGAAGAGCAAAAAATTGGGGAGCGTATATCTCGACCCCAGCCTTGGCATTTGTTCCAATCAAGATATCATAAAATAACTCCTTCCCAAGCAAAAATTGGGCCCAAATGGGCAAAAAAGTGCTCACGTCATCCATGGTAAACAAATGTTGCACATAATTTGGAATTGAATGAGCAGGAAAAGGAAGGGATTGAATCCAAATTATAAAAGAAGGAAAAAAGTCCCTATTGGACCTATTTACATGACTCAATTAGTTGATGGCTTGCCCGTAATAGCTAGCATATTGAAGAAAAGTAGATGAAGCACCGAGTTGTGGAAAGTATGCACTCAACCACAATTGAGCGAGCCAAAGAGGCCCACTACCAGTGGGAGATACACCATTCTTCAATTGAAATTGGAGGAAGTCATGCCTCTATAAAAGGCGGCTAAAAATAATGAACAAAGATTCAAAGGCCTACCCACGCTAATTCATGCGCTATGGGTAGATAACTCATAGAGGGCTTCATACTGGGCACACAAAGGACATATTTACAAATCCAAACCTGAAGAAAGGCCACATGCTCAGCATGGGAATGTTTAGCTCTAGAATTATTATAAAGTCCTTGCATGCTCGAATAGGACTTAGTAAGTTTTTTTGTCAAATTTTAGGGTAGTGCTGGTAACCAAAATTCCAGGAAAAATGGTATCACCCAAGGGCGGAAGGTTTACTAAGGCTCTAACGTCCCTCAGAATAACAGACATTGGGCCAAGGGGGAAAATAAAAATATTGTACTCAGACGACCAAAAACTCAGTGCAATTGGAAAAAGCATTACGTCATAAATTAGGGGATGAAGAACAATTCTAATAAATCAGAAATCCTAACACGATCAAAAATCGTCTTGGTGGGGCCATGATTTACCATACGTGCATGCCATCTACAAAAAAAAGTATTAGTTTTGGGCCAAGTGCGAATACCTTTCTCGCATATTGGCCTCAACGGTAAAGAGTTTAGAAAAAGAGGTTCTTGGGTGCAAGGGAATAGCTGACCCACTGCCGCTTGCCCAACTGATTCAGCATCATTAAATGATGGGCCTAAATAGAATTCCTGAAATTCAGGGTTGGTTGGTGAAAGAAAAGCTGAATTGATATACGGCCTGGTAAGGAGGTTTTGAAAATCTTCGAAGCTAAGGGAATTGTTAGAAGGGCTTTGTGGAGTCGCCATTGACTGCAAAATACAATTTTCGTAAGGGATTGTGAGAAGCATAGCAGGGAAGCAAGAAGATAAATAGTGATTGTTATAGAGGAAGAGACACGAAGACATGGGTATAATGGCGAGATGAAATAGTGTGTCCCTTGGTTTATAGGAGTTACGTGGTGTTACAATTTTTAGAGATATAGAGAGTTACCGTCAAATGAAAATAATGATTGGGATTATCCGCCTTTTTCGAGAATGTACGCATTGTTAGAAAATATAAAGGAAGAATATAGCATAAGATTAATACTTGATATTAATTTTTTCATATTGGGAGGTGATTGTTGACGTATAAAAATGAGGCCCAATTAAAATGGTCTAAAAAGTGGAGTCCAATTGAGAAATTTGAGGAATAGGCTCAAATGAGACCATTGTGAAGTATAGTGGAGGCCCATAAACGGAGGACTATCATTGTCCAAACTTACAGGACGCCTAGGATTTGAGCGAATGAAATGCCTTATTGTCGCTCAGAGCTACTGTCCCATTCTCACCTAAGCTTTCAAAGACGCCCAAAATCTGGGCGAACATAGCGTCCTGTTGAAGAGGCTATTATTGAAGCAGTTCTTGAGCGGTCTTATCACATTCCACGATCCAAGAATCTCGGTTGCAAGCAGTTAAGGAGAATAGTGACAGCAGTTTAAAAACGACAGTTTCTTGACACGAGAGCCATTATGAAGCAATTGAGTAGTTATAGAGCGACAAGTAGTTTGCAAACGGTTTCACAAGGAAAATCGGTGAAGGAGTATAAAAGAAAAGGAAGACATAGAAAGAAAAGACCTCGAATCAATCACTCTCAAATAGAGAATATGTAATTTTACTTCTTTTAATTCTTATCGCAAATTTTCAATTTACTTTGTGTGTTTGTGCCTCTTGGAGGTGTTCTATTTTGTTTTTCATTGTAATTTTCATAAATAAAGCACCCCTCGTTGGGACTTTATTTCAAGAGATTTGTTCCTTACACAATCGTTTGAATCATCCTTTAATTGTTAGCGAGACTCGATAAATCCGCGCAAAACAGAAAATATGTAAGAAAAAAATACTTTACCAGCTATATGAATTTTATTTTCTTAATATCTGTGAAAATAAAAAATAAGTCTATCTCTATATTACAAATGAAGTAGTATCTAGTTGAAACATTGAGATAGATTCTACAGACATTTCGATTCCTTTTATTATCACCTACTTAATGTTGAATAAACATAAATTGAATTTGAGAGAAGTGACTAAGTATAATGTTAAAAAAAAAGTATTATAGGGAGGAAAAAGAAATTGGCGTAACCAAAAGGTACCAAGTAGGGATGTCAACAGACATGTTAAATTATCTCAATTACTAATTTTTTATTATTTATTTATTTTTAACATGACTGAAATTTAAAAACATGAAAAAGATATAAAATTAGATTTGGTGTATGTCGGTCGTTGATTTCTTGATAGACCGGTATTGAGTATTTTTGCCATCTCTAATATCAAAATCGTCAAAAAGCGGTGAAAAGTTAAATTTTAAAAAGTGGATCATTTGTTTATGTGCTTATTTGGCCAAATTTTTTAAAATTCATTTTTTTCAACTCATTTTTCCTCACAAAATTTATGGATCCCATAATTTTGATCAACTTTTTAAACAAATGTCATCATTTTTAATTAAATTTTACTAAAAGTATTTTTAGCCAAACGAAACAGGGGCTTATACCATTTCGTGCTAGTTGAGTAATTTATTCAATTAGTGTATTTGAAAAGTGGATCTTTTAGGTCCGACCCAATGGGCCACGGTTTGAGCTCGAATTAGCCGTTACCGCCAATTCTCTGTCTTTCAATTATTTCGCGTTTCGTTACAAAACCCTAACCCCTTCATATTCCAAACTTCCAAAATTCTCTCTCAATAATTCTCCAAATGCCTTCGTTGGACGATCAACTGTTGAATAGCGATTCCGACGATGGGTTCAATGAAGACATGGAAGCTTTGAAGCGAGCTTTTCAGTTAACCGGCACAAACCCTGACGACCACAAAGGATCGCTCTCTAAGGCATCCCATTCCGCCGGCGGCGGCGATGTTTTATTAGAGTCTGATTCGGATGACGATGATCGGGAGGATGACATTGAATTGGTGCGGAATATTCAGAAACGATTTTCGGATTCGATAGAGGCTGAGCAGCCTCTGACCCTGAAACCTCTGTTGACGCTACCGCCACTTGGGTTGGATAGTGATGATGGTGATGATGGTGATTTTGAGACCCTACGTGCCATCCAACGGCGTTTCATGGCCTATGATGATGGTAAATGCGTCTTTCTTTTATTTATGTTGTATTGTTTTAACGGATTTTATTATTTACTTGGTTTCTACTCTGCAGGAAAAATCTAAGTTTTGTCTATATTATAGAATTGGGGACTTATAATTTGAAATGTAAATGTTTTATTCAATTGTGAATTTATCTTGCACTAATTGGCTATTATTGAAAGTAAATAATAAGGATTGGTTGCTTTCAACTAGTTTTGAAGTGCTTGCAGAAAGTCTTTATTTATGATATTTCCTCGTGCTTATGAATGCCATATGCTTTGTATATGATTCATGTTTATGCAGTTTAATCTTTGAGCCAAACCATAAATATTGGTAATTCTTCTTTACCTTTGTTTTTATGTATTATGTGATTATGTATTTGTGACTTAAGTTGTTAATTTGAGTTCATAGTTCCTTTTTTTATTCCTCAGATTCTACTTGGATACTTTATGAAATTTCAATTTAAGAATGATTTGTTCATGGATTTGAAGCTTTTTTTATTGCTTATTATTCTTATTCTTTTCCTATGGAATTTGATAGATGAGAGAATCTTTTTTCAGGCTGATATATAATTGTGCCTTCTCATTTTTGAATTTTGCATAATTGGGTACAGGTGCCCTAAAAGAAAGTGTGGAGAATGTTTTGTATATACCTGAGCAGGTGGGCGCTACTGTCATAGATTCGGAAAAGGAAACTTCGAATAATTTGATTGATAAGAGAACTAATGCACAGGAAGGGTTTTCCAATTGTGTAGATACAAAAGAAGCTGCTGCCCAGCTGACAGAAGCATGTGATGATGAAAGTGTTGTTGGTGCACGGCCTTCTAACTTAATTGAGTGGAATGGGCCGAGATCTAATGATGTTGTTGGGTTGCCAGTTAAAAATTCTGATTTCCCGAGTTCAGCACTGGCATTTGTTGACGCCATTAAGAAAAACAGATCTTGTCAAAAACTTATACGAAGTAAGCTGGGGGAGATAGAAGCAAGGATTGAAGAAATTAAAAGGCTGAAGGATCGTGTCAAAATCTTGAAAGACTTTCAGGTTGCATGTAGAAAGCGAACTGGGCGAGCTTTTTCTCAAAAGAAGGATGCTCGTGTGCAGTTAATATCAGTGCCAAAGCTAAGAGGAAATACAAAGGTCAGTGTCAGAGTTGTTATTTTCTGTTACCATATTTTAATTTGATTTTGTCCTTGTTTCTGATAACTATATCTCTGATCATTGGATTTTCTTTAATATTTTTATATTTATTTGGTTTCTTGGAGGTGAACTTTGGGGTTCAGTTTCTTTGTTGTTTAGTCAATCTCTTTTGTTCACACCGAGATCTTATGAAGCGGATAAGATTACCTTCAGCTTTTATATTATTCAAGTTTAGCACGAAATATAAAATACATAATATTTCTGAATGTTGCTGGAGAACAGTTATATTATTTTTCCTTTTGATGTTCAAGCACACCTTTTAATTCCTGCAGTTCAATGAGAAGAAGATCTCTGCCACATACAAGGGACCACCGGAGAATTTACATGTCGCTAAATATAAAGAGGCATTGACAAACTTTCCAGTCTCAGTGAATCGGGAGAACTGGTCAAAGAAAGAAAGAGAGAATCTCATGAAAGGCGTGAAACAACAATTCCAAAAAATGCTGCTTCAGCAATCCATCGATCTGTTGAGGTATTATTCTTTCAGAATGTGCTTGATAAATGGAGGGCACTTCGGGGAATGCAGTATGCCTTAATTTTTTCTTTAATTGATGCATGTTACGGGCAACTTCTGTATGTAGCTTAAAAAAGACCCCGAGTGTAACATTCATACATAAAAGGATAGTTGCTTTTCTTATACTGTTTTTTATGGTCGTAATTTACTAGTCTGAACCTTGGTACATTGAAGCAATTTTAGTTGCAGTAAGGTATACTTCAAATAATAAAATTTACATAGAATTTTGAACTATTCAGGTCATCGTAAATTATGTAAAAGGCTAAAGTCAAAGGACAGGCTTTTTGATTCCGTGGCATGTTGCACATAGTAAAATATGGAATACAAGTATGGGAAGTTACATTTATGGTTTGTAAATTGTATTATGAAATATTCTGAGAGATACTGAAAGTTTGTCCGGAAGTACAAGAATGAGAAACCTGCAGATATCAAGTAGTGTGCAGTTAATGCAGATACAGTGATGGTTTGGATAACAGGATGCAGCTTCATGTGGAAGTTGTTCTTTACATGATGTTGAAATTACAAATTATGTTTATTTCATTATTTCTGTGGAATACACATTTATATGAACTAGAATACAATGGTGATCTGAATATTCATGTTAATTTAGACATGATTCCCAATCACTGATTTTCTTGAATGGTTAAACTAAATTTGTTTAGTTGTGTCTCTGATGCATTAATTCAGTCTTCTATTTTATTACTTCGTCTTTGATGCATTAATTTGAGCACTTCAGTTTCCTGTTTTGTTACTTGATTTGTGAGTCACATAGAATAATTCAGCATTCCAACAGAAAAAGAGCACACGATAAACTTAACTGGCAACTTGGGTGGCTAAACCATGAGAAAAGTTTCCAGTAGCACCCTGGAATTTAAGGGTTATAGAATCAGGTGGAAAACATGAGATGTCCTTTAAGCATAAGTAGGATCTATGATGATGCCTGGGTTAAAATATGGGATTATTTTTTCTCAAGGTAGTTACTTCTAGGTACATTAAAAAGGAATGGTGATCCGAAGGGGATGTTTACAATTAGATAAGAACAATTTTGACAACATAAGAAAAGGGTGCAGGAACTCTGTGATTATAAGATAGTAAGATACCAGTCAAGTTAAAAAGGGGTTCTATGTAATGAGAGTACCACATAATTTTATGGTAGTGATTGTTGGGTTATTAGAGGGAAAAAATTCTAATAATGAATGTAGCAAAAATGAGGTAATAAAATATATACAAGACCTCCCTAGAATGATCTAATAAGATAGGAGGATATAAGGGAACGATCTATAGTTGAGACGTGTTGATGTTCTTAGGCACAAGAGTAATTTGACATGATTAGAATAAACTACGGATTTGTTTTCATTAGTCTTTACAACATTAGCAACTCTAGATTAAAAGAGAAACGATTCACCTATCCTATCCGAGTCCAAGTTTAATGGAAGTAAAACCTTGTTTTTGTCATCATTGAAGTAAAAAAATGGATATAAAATAACTACATTAGGTTATATGCGTATGACAGTGTATTGCTAATTCTATGAGATGCTGCATCTTAAATAGTATTGCTTATTGGTTTTTGAACCCCTCATGATCTATTTAATAAATGTAATAATCTCAACATAGGATTTTGTTTTCTACTCATTTTGCTAAATTTTAGTATCGACACATAATTTGTACATATGATATGAGTATTTATTATTGCTTGGTGAAAGTTCTGATGCATAGGTCATTGGACTTTCATGTACATTGCTTTTGCCTTCTAAAATAATGAATTATATGAAACTACGGAAGTACAGGAAGATGAAAGACTTTTTAATACAAATATCTGGATATGAAGTAGTCTAATCTAGCAGCTAAATTTATACAGATACAAAGTATAAATGAAATGATGCTGGAGCAGATTGTAAGAGTGTGTGTGATTGGCATTAAAAATATCTTCTAGAAATGAAAATGCTTTCCTTATTTTGAGGAAAACAAATACCTACTCCCTCCAAGGAAAATGTTTTCGTTAATAACATGGAAAATTAGACATATTTTCAACAAGTTGGAAAATACTTTCAATGGAAAAAAAAATAGGGATCAAACACTCCAAAATAAGAATTTGGGTGAAAAACTGACATTTTCCATGGAAAATAAATGCAATCAATTCACCCTAAGAGTAGTCTAAGATGTTTGTGAAACATGAATGATGTTACCACCCTGTCTTACCTCCGCCTTCTTTGTTTGGACTTAAGAATTATCCAAGTGTAGTGCCTTATGTATCACAACTATTTTGAATTATATAATATTGAAGTGGGGGCACCGACCTGAATTTGCTTGTGTTGAGAATTTGAGAACTTGTCCCTGGTTTGTTTACCAGTTTGCAAGTTAACTGAACCCTACCCCATTTATATTTTTCTTTTTCATTTTTTTAAAAGAAGGGGTGGCGTGCAACTGCCTGATCTTGCACCCATTGCCTTCTCTGATCTAATCTAAAATATGGAAATATATATTTGTGATGGGAAGTTAGTGGAGAGTAGTTGAAGGCATGCAGTGGCCCCTTTTTTCATCCATTTTCATCACTGGTTGAGAACTTGACCTGATTTGAGATATGACTGAAAATATTTCAGAAAGCCATTATGTTGACTTGAGATCAGTATATTATACCATGAGTCCTGTGATTAACAGTTACCAGAATATACTCTTTAACTTTCTAATAGCTTTTTCTCCAGATAATAGAATTGCATTTATAATTTATTCTCGTTGCCCTATTTAATCTTGTATGTTCTCTATTTTCAGTGATGGAGATGTATCTTCTGGAGATTCAAATAATGTTGATAGCATTGTTGCATCAATAAAAGATCTTGATATAACCCCTGAGATAATGAGATCATTCCTGCCCAAGGTCAATTGGGAACAACTGGCTTTCATGTATGTTCCTTGCCACACTGGTGTAGAATGTCAAGCAAGGTAAGATGGGTTGACTAATTTTTAACAGGAAGAACAGCAATCGTGATTTTTTTATGCAAATGCTGCATGTGATTCTCTGGATTTGTCTTGCTTAACGTTAAATCTGATCTCTTGAATAATAACACACTTAATATTAAAAGTAAAAAACTGTGAAGGAAAGGCCAGACAATTCAGAATAGTTAGTGCAGTGTCGACAGAATGATCGTGAGATCCATAACTTCACTGGCATCTTATTCTTGAAATTAAATTATGTTTTGCACCTTTAGTCCAATTTTTATATAAAGAGTCCTTTTGGGTTTCCATTCTAATTTTCTGGGCAAATGGTTCCCAAACTCAAATTTTGTATCAAATTTGTTGAACTTAACTGTACCATTATGAAGAGCTGTTAAAATCTCAGGCAGCTCACATTGCAGATGGTTTTCAGGTCTTTTCACCAATTTAGAAAGATAAAAGAAACAGCCACTTCTTGTTTCTTATTCTACAATCTCTCTTCACATACTTCTCAATAAGTTCACAGTGCCAAAGGCTCTTGCATGGAGGATAGAGACGAAAGGTGCAACATTTTTGCAGGCGAAAGACAATGGAAAATCACATTTACTTTATTTTGACCTAAATAAATGCTTAATTGACTGAAGATTTTGTGTTGCATCATATTGGTGTAACTAAATGTTCAAACTTTTAGAACCGTTAAATTGGCATCAACATTATCCTGATACATTGTCGTTGCATCTGGAGGCATCCTAAGTTTATGCATTGTGGTTGCTGAACATGTACAGTAATCATAGTGTGCTTTGTTTTCCACGTAACTAAAGTCTATTAAATTCTTGCAGGTGGCTGAACTTTGAAGACCCTTTAATCAATGGACATCCATGGACTACAATGGAGGATAAGAATCTTTTGCATAATATCCAGCAGAAGGGGCTAAGTAACTGGATAGATATTGCCGTTTCACTGGGAACAAATAGGACCCCTTTTCAATGCTTAGCACGCTATCAAAGGAGTCTTAATGCTTCAATTCTCAAGAGGGAGTGGACGGAGGAGGAAGATAATCAACTCCGTGCTGCTGTAGAAAATTTTGGTGAGAGTAATTGGCAACAAGTTGCTTCCCTGATCGAAGGACGGACAGGTACCCAGTGCTCTAATAGGTCAGTCAACATGCTCAATGATGAGTTTGATTTTTAAAATTTTGTGAACTGAATGAAAAAGCTTATTTAGGATATGAAGCTTGGATACTATGTTGCATTAACAAAGCAGGCGAGAAGTTAATCCATGAAATTTTATTTTCAAAGCTAGTCTGCATTCTACAGTTTTTAGTTAAATAGGGCCTAAAAAACTCCCGAATGATGTTGTCACCCCTTTAAGGTTTGTTGATATATTATAACCCTTAACATCAATTTCAAGTGCATAGCCCATTTTTGCTTACACAATCATGAAAATCCATAAGTAACTAGGTTTATTGTACTTTCCAATTGTCATTTCTGTTAATGAGGTTGTGGATGTTGAGGTTACACAAACATTAGTTCCTGACACTATATACGAAATAGTTTGCATCCTTAGGATAAGAAACTTAATGAGTTCTTTCTAATGATAAAAATAGTTTGTATTTTAGAGTTCTTATTTTATGTAGAGGTTTGAATTAGCTCCTCCTAGTTTTATATCCTTCATGTGTTAGGAAATTCCTCTTTTCCTAAGCAATCTTGGCAACGTAAAACAATATCCTTGAAATAGCTTTCTTTGGCACTCTGGTCGTGTTACTACTCCAACAAGGAGACAGGATATGCTTTTTCTGCCCATGGTAACTCATTTAGGGTTGACCAGTTTATGGGAATGTTGGAGTATCACTGAAGGGACAGGGACTGTACTAAAACTGGGAGTTTGGAGTGAAGAAAGTTGTATATGCAGTGCATACTATATTTGCTAGCTTATTCTTTTTGGCAGCTATATAGAATGTCAATGGATCTATTGAGATCTAGAAATATTCCATGAGCATTCGAGAAAACCTCCTTTGGATTTTCCAAGATAATTTTGCAATTGATGGGTTTTCTCTGGGAGTGGTTAAATTTGGTTTTTGGTGCATTGTGGGTGATAGGCTTGTATAGTCTTGGAATCTGGGTATTCGATCCTTACGGATTGGGAGGAAAAGAGTACTTGAATTTCGCTTTGTTTTGGAATTTTTGATCCTTCGATTCAAGGATGAATAACTTCTCATTATATTGAAGTGTGGACTTTAGGCATATTAGCTGGTCTATTCTTAGTGTCTGTGCCTAGCAAATATTGAATCCTTACTTTTCAGTTGCACCAACCATTTTTTATTTTTGCAGATTTTGTACATGGGGCTGTGGTGTATGATTCAGCAACCATCTAGATTGAATTATATGGTCCAACTCATTTTCAATGGTTCAAGGGTTACTTCAAACGATGGGTACATTGAAGAATTAGTGCTGAAGATTGAATTTGATCGGAAACTTGTTCTAGAAGTCCCAAAATAAAGCCCTTTCATGATTATATTACTGAAATATATAATGCCTAACCAACTGTGGTTTAAGCAAAATTCTTAACACGTTGGCTTTCACATGCCAAAACTCAAACCATTCACCTTTTTTCCTCCCCTCAAAATAAAACAATGAAAGAGATAATGGAAAAAGAACTTGAAATTAACTACTAGGATCTCGTGTAGGTGACGTTCCTTTCAAGCTACAGTAGTTGATGTTTGTAATTCATCAGAATGATATTCCAAGTGCTTGAGTTGGTCTCTAGTTATTCATTTACCCTGTTTTAAAATGTTTTATGATACTTTTTAAGTTCATTGATTGTTTCTTTTTTCTTCTTTTTCTTTTTTTTTTTCCGGGAAAATGCAGATGGATGAAAACACTTCATCCAACCAGGAAAAAGGTTGGAAGATGGACTGAAGATGAAGACAAACGCTTGAAAGTCGCGGTAACATTTTTTGGGCCAAAAACATGGAAGAAAGTAGCTCAGTTTGTGTCTGGACGGACACAGGCGCAGTGCAGAGAAAGGTATTCTTTGATTTATAATGTGATACACTGATACTTAAGATATGATTTTATTCAATTTAATTGAGTTACGTGCATTGTAATGTGGCAGATGGGTCAATTGCTTAGATCCTTCTTTGAATCTGGCTGCATGGACTGAGGAAGAGGATTCAAAGTTGGAAGCAGCCATTTTAGAACATGGATATTACTGGTCAAAAGTTGCTGCATGTGTTCCTCCACGTACTGATAATCAGTGTCGTAGGTAAGGATTTTTCATGGCAATGATTAGTGATTTATTGAGTTCGATAATCTTGTGTGGTGTTGATTCTCATTTTTGTAGTGCTTTTTATCACTCTAATTGTTAGGAGATGGAAGGTGCTGTTTCCACATGAAGTGCCTCAGCTTCAAGCAGCTAGAAAGATACAAAGGGTTGCACTTATTTCCAATTTTGTAGATAGGGAGTCAGAGCGACCTGCCCTTGGACCTAATGACTTTGTTCCTTTGCCAAATTGTATCACTGAATCCAAAAAAGTTGACCCTCCTAGTAGAAAAAGAAGAAGATCAAGGTATGTTGTTTCTGTGATTCACTCTAGTCTATATGGTGTATCTTTTTTTGTTTTCTTGGGACTGATTGATTCCTTGTCTGTGTGTAGGCGAGGAAAGAATTGTACTGAAAAAAATGCTTCTGGGTAGCTATCCTTCTTTTCTTGTTCCTTGCTTCTATAGCTACTATGCTATATATTTGTATTGATTCTGGATTTATTTTTCTTTGGATATGTATAGTGAGATCTCTCCAGAAGAAGTTACAAGGTTAACAAATGGGGATGAGATTGAGAATGTGCACGGCAGACCTTTCCCAAGGAAGAAAAGGAGCAAGAGGTTTCATTCAGTTAAGGGAAAAAGATGGATGTCTCAACCTTCGGAGGATTTTGAAGGTTCTAATCCGACAGAAGAAGATCCATCACCTCTTACTGATCCAAATATATTGATGATAACCATGGGTGATGAGTTAGTTGATGTTGGTGGGGAAGATGCTATTGAGATTAACAAGACTTCTAAACTACGTCCAAGAAGGAGATGTAATGAATCCCATGAGGAAGTGCCAGAGACTTTGAGTACGGTGCATACTATTGTTGAAGATGCAAACTTATTGAAGACGAAAAAGATAACCAATGATAAGAGCAAAGGCACTGACGATGCAAATGGGGATGGTAGCGAGAAACGTAATAAGCATTTCAGGAGCAATTTTTGCACTGAAGTAACAGGAGATGATGAAGATCTTTTAGTATCTTCTGGACGGGACAATGAGTTGCGACATGTAGAGAATTCAGAAATGCAATCCGAGGAGTGTTTAGTACAAGGAAAATGTTCAACACCTGTCATTATGGAAAGTGGGAATTACATGACATCTAGTTTTCGCTCACAGGAGAAACTGAAAAGGTCCAAGGATAAACGAGCTCCCTCTGATAAATTGTCCAAAACAGTAGAATATGAAGCCGCCCTTGCTTCTTTCCCTGTACAATCAGGTTCTGAGGAAAAACATTTTTCTTCAACAAAGATGGATGAATCTCTCAGGAAGCAGGACCAAATTTTTGAGGTACAGAACAGCTCGAATGGGCCTGGTCTACTCTACACTTACCAGCGAAAGAGACGAAGAGCCAGAGATGAAACTTGTTCCCGTCAGATATTGGAAGTAGAAATCAGAGATGAAACTTGTCCAAATAAGACAGTAGAACTAGAAGCCGAAGATGACATGCTTCTTGCTGTTTTCTACAATGAACGAAGGAAGATGAGGAGAGTTGCAGCTACCTAGAAATAGCAGCAATACTAGATTTTGGTGTCATTTTGGCGAATATCAAATGCATTGGGCAGTCTCGTAAGGTAGAAAGATTGCTGCTTCCTAATAGATGAATGAAATCATCTTCCAAGAAATCAAGGGCAATTTTGTGTAGTTCTTGAGAGATTTGGAATTTATGATGTTAGTGAGAAATGTTGGGACTAAGGAGTGGATAATTGGTGAAAGAATTTGATTAGCGAGTCCTCTCTTATTTTAAAGTGTCTAGATTTATTTATTTATTATTATTATTTTTTGTAACACGATCGAGACAATGGTTAAATAAAATTTTGAGATAAAAGATGAACAAGAGTAGCAACTAAAACAAGCATGGGATCCCCTATGAATGCGGGCTAATATAATAAATAATCCCTTAATTTTAACGACAGGTATTTATAATAAACATAAATGACAGTCTTTGTAGTAATTATTATTTCTGGTCACCTTTGAACTCCTAGAAGGAAATATTATAAATTCATGATTGTACCACAATTTGAATGTCGTAGGTTGGTCTTTATTAATGAGCCAAAACGTGTCTCAAGTTCATTCTCTTATCTATGGATAGAAAAGTCCAAGAACTATTACGAATAGTAAAAAAATTCGACAAATTCGATATCTGTGGGGCTCTGTCCCGAAGAGGGCAGGGATTACTCACTTATTATGTATTCGGGTCGGGGATAGGGCAGTACGGGTAATGGGTACCTAGAATTTTTTTTTTTTTTTTTTT